GTGGGTTTCTGAGCAGTTAGAGGGGGGTCTGCAGGTGGGAGATTTGCGGAGGTGGGTTTCTGAGCAGTTCGTGGTGGATCTGCAGGTGGGAGATTTGCTGCGGTGGGTTTCTGAGCAGTTAGGGGGGAGTCTGCAGCTGGAAGATTTGCTGCGGTGGGTTTCTGAGCAGTTAGGGGGGAGTCTGCAGCTGGAAGTTTTGGGGAGGTGGGTTTCTGAGCAGTTAGGGGGGAGTCTGCAGCTGGAAGTTTTGGGGAGGTGGGTTTCCGAGCAGTTAGGTGGTGGTCTGCAGCTGGAATATTTGCGGAGGTGGGTTTCCGCGCAGCTAGCCGGGGTTGTACTGCTGGCAGGTTTGCTGCGGTGGGTTTCCGAGCAGTTAGTGGGGGATATGCCGCTCGAAAATTTGCTGAGGTGGGTTTCTGAGCAGCTGGTGTAGGTTCTGGATCTGGATCATTTACTGAGGTGATTTCCTGAGGAGTCGGTGGAGCCTTTGTACCTGAAACTTTTGCTGATGTGGGGTTTGGAGCCTTCGGTGGGGGCTGTGCAGTTGAAGTAGCATGTTTCTGAGGTGCTACCGCAGGCCAGAGAACAAGGCGTTCTGTGGAGGAAAAATTAATATTTTAGGTAAAACATTAAATATTACTGGACAAATTAAGATTGCTAAGCTAACTGCTTGCTCTCTGGATTTTCTCTCTCTCTCCCCACAAACACCTGACAATGATTTTTAGGAAACCTGTCTTATGTTGTGTTTCAAAGAAAACTAACGTGCTATGAAAATTACATCTACAGCCAACTACAGCAGACTTATGCCAATACAGTATTGAAGTGCTGAAGTTGTAAGCTGTGTCATGAGTCAGCAGTGATCTCAATTCCTGAGACATGCTGAACAACTGGTCTTTAATTTCTCTCTCACACTGTCTCCTCCTTACAGTGTGCTGTAAACCAAGAACATAGGACACAACCATTGGACCACTGGTCCAGGCTTTCACAAAAGAAACATTTTCCAATTTTCAGGAAACTTTAGATAATTTCCTGGATATTCCAGGATAGTTGTGTGAGCTTGGAAGCTTGCTTCACTTCCATATTTTTTTCTTTCTAAATGCATGTACATTTGATACAGCAATTACACTGCTAGAAACGTATTGTCCAAAATGTACTTCTACATAGATGGAATGACCTATGTACAAAAATATCTACTGTAGCATCCTTTGTATTAGAAACAAATAAACACCCCCAAACCTAAATCCCATCAATAGCCATCTGGTGAAATAAATGATATAGCCATGTAACTGATACCATGAAACAAGAAATCTATGTATGCTTCACTATTGATATGTAGAAGGAAACAGAAGGATGTGTAAAAAATGACTACTTTTGAGAAATGCTTATTTCTCCTTTTGTACAGGTCACCATAGTCTGCTCCCATTGAAATGTTTAGTGAGGGAAATGCTCTAGAAGGTTGCTATGCATCAGAATTGACTTGATGGCATATATATATTTATGAGATATATATATATATCTCATAAAGACATACCTATTTTAATTTACTGAGTGTGACACTGTACCAAAAAATGAGTTTAAAAATAGAATTAAGAGATTATGGAATTAACAAGGTCATAACATTTTTCCATGCACTCTGACATTTATACATATGTGTGTGTATGTGTGTGTTTATATATATGTATGCACAGACATACTAATAACTCAAACACACCGCCATCAAGTTGATTCTGGCTCTTAGGAACCCTACATAAGGGTTGCCGTGACTGTAGGTCTTTATGGAGTGGATAATGTTCATCTTTCTCCCAAGGACTAACTGGTGGACTTGAACCACAGATTGTGTAGTAAGCAACCCAGCACTTATCCTACGGAGCCACAAGGGCTCCGTGTGTGTGTTTATATCAGCATGTGTTCTCTGCATCCATATTTCTTCTTTTGCATCAGTAATAGACCCATCTGAGAATGCTATGAAAAATAGTGTCTCCCCCAAAATGCAACTTTTATGTGCAATATTTTACAAATTCTCAAGATGTTCACAGAATTTCTGCAGCCCATGTTAAGACCTAATAATAAGAACCCCTGATTATAAAAAAAAAATACATTAAAATATCAATATGCTAACTGATCACCTTTGCACTTAGGTGGAAAATCACTCCATTTCCCTTGGTTATCTTTTACAGTACATTGGATAGAGTCCTTTCCTATCAGGATTAAGCCTTCATCACACACGTATGTTATAGATTGTCCATGTGCATAATGGTCCTGCTTCTGTACAATTTTCCCATTGTTAATTTTGAGTGGTTCTGGACAAAATATTTCTTAAAAAAAAAAAAAGAGGTCAATAGGTTTTCAACAAATAAAATTGGCAATGTAATTTATAAATAAGACTAAACCATAGCAAATACTTTATTCTTAACTTTAAAAATGACTATATTTTAAAAGTTAGCACCACCACCAGAGCTGTTTATAAATGTGGAGTAAATATCAAGCATTTGAAACCTGAAGACCCAACACTTAACCCACGCCACCACCAAGGCTCTGTAGAGATAGTGTGAAAAATTTTTAATTGAAAATTTGTTTTTAAAAACCCCCAGATAGTTAATCTAAAGCAGGCTTCTGATGAGGAAACTGCAGCCAAGAGAAGACACGTCTGAAGAGCATGTCCCAGCAGAGGCCTCAGCATAAGGAATGGTGTGGGAGCAGGAAACCGCCGAGGTTCATGGAAGTTTGCAGTTTGGGTTGATTGCAGTTTGGTTTGCAGTGTAAAATATGAGGGGGGCAAGAGGTACGCATGAGGAAGTGGTAGACCATGACCACCCCGGACATTTTACTAAGGAATTTGAACTCGGTAGGAGACTAGAATGAACTTTAAGAGGAAAGAGACAGCCACGCGTGTGTGTCAGAGAGAGTGTGTGGATGAATCTATGAATGAGAATAGAGGCAGGAGGCTATCCTGTCATGCTGGAAGCCAGGCCATGGGACACCTGACCAGGCTCCACTCCTTCCAGGGCCATGTTCTGAGTGTCTCTGACTCTGCTTCTCCTCACCCCGTGGGCTGCCTTCAGGGCTGAGAGGATAATTGAGTCTGTGTCCCTCCATTCTAACTCTTGCTCCTGAAAGTAGCACCCAGAATGCCCTGTGTCGAAACTCAGAATCACCACGATGGCAAGAGGTTGCCCTCTGGGTTGTCTGCAGGGTGGCAACCATTAAGCCTTTGACTACTAGCTGCAAGCTTGGCAGGGTTCACCACCCCAGAGCTACCTGGCTGTCTGCTTCTGAAAGGTCCCAGCCTTGAAAACCCAATGGAACAGGTGTGCTCTGCACAGGTGGTGCTGCCACGAATCAGACTTGACCTGGCAGCAGCTACCAGCAACAACACATCTCTACTCAGGTGCCTCAGGGTATTATCCCCACTGCAGATTTATACCTGTGAGGATGGGTTATATTGGAGTGTACATGCTTATAAATTCAAAGGGCAAAAGAGTGGGGATAAGATTCATGGTATTGATGTATAAGCTGGAATGTCCAGTCAAATGCACCAGAGAGCAGCCCCTTATAGTCTGGGGGGTAGCAGGGGGCTATTTGAGAAGGGCTGAGTCTTTAAGACAGGGACCTCCATTTATGCTCTGACCCTGGGCCCTAATAATGTTAAGGCTACTAGTCCTGACTGCAATAATCCAGATGGGAGATAACAATTTATATTAGAGGCCATACAGATGAAGGGAAGATCCAGGGTTAGAGAAGTACATTAAGGAAGTATAGCAAAATAATCTAATGATTAGATTAGATGCCACGAATGGGAGGAGTTGCAGTTGAAGAGAGGGTGTCAGATCACAGCCAATATGTGGTATGGATGAATTCCAGGTTATTAGGAACTGAAAATATATCTCAATTAAAAAAACACTGAGACCTTCTGATCAGCCCCTTCAATAATGAAGCTTAATTCAGAGTGAACAAGCATTAACTTGATGTGTAATAAAGAGTTCTTACATGAGCCTGTTGTTCTTTCTTGCTCCAATAGGAGTCAATATATCATCATGTGTCTACAGGTCAGAGACCCACACAGAAACCATGAATTGTTTAATATTTGATGTCCCGTAAAATAGGTGTTGTGGAGAGTGAAAACTAGGGCCTAAAGGAAGCGGGAGAAACCCCGATGGACTCGTGGCGAAGAGCCTGGCTGCTAAGGGAAAGGCAGCGGGTGGGCCTTCCAGTGGTGATCAGCTGCCATCCACATGACACTCTAGAAAATCCGAGGGGCACGTGGATTCTGTCTCACGGGTGACTATGCGTCAAAGTCAACTCAATGGCACCAAAGAGCGGCCAGTTATAACATAGGCATTTATAACGATAATTGGGGACCCTGGGGTTGCTTAGGAAAGAACTGTCTCCCACAGGATGCAGAGGTTGGTGGTTGCTGAGATGAAGGGAGAAAGAAGAGAGTCAGAGGAAAATATGGACACCAGGCTATTCACCATCAGCTCAACCAACGCGAAGTCTAGATAGGTATCCAGACCTGGGAAAGCAAAAGGAGAAGGTGAGCCTTCTGTGTTCAACTGTATCCTCAGCATCCACTGGTCTGTGAAATCCAAGGCAGCGTGTGCGTGTGAAAAGCAAGCACCCCCTGCTCCCAGGGAGGGGTCTTTCTTGGCAGGAGTTATCGAGTCCTCTGAGCGGCTGAGGAATAATAGTGCCCCCCTCCCCGAATGCAACTTTCATATCAAATAGTTTACACTCATTCTCCAACGTTCATAGAATGTGTGCAACCTCTGTTTAGACCTGATGCTAAGAATCCCTGCTGAGAGGGAAAAAGTGAAGTAAGAATGTCAATCGGATCACCTTTGCACTGAGGTGCATCGCTCCATTGGCCTTGTTCATCTTTTTCAGTACATCGGATCGAGTTGTTTCCCGCCAGGGTGAAGCCTTCGTTACACTGGTATGTCGCCGATTGTCCATATCTATAATGGCTGTGATTCTCCATAACTTTTCCATGGTCAATGTGAGGTGGTTCTGGACAAAATATTTCTTTAAAAAAATTTCAATATCTTTTCAATCCATAAAAGTGGCAACGTGGTTTGTAAATAAGACTAAAATATATTGAATAATTAATATATCAACTATTTTGAAAACTGGCATTAACCCCAGAGATGCTTATAAATGCCTCCTAAATATTAAGTATTTGGCGTTTGGGATGTGAAAAGTTGTGTAACCTGAAGACTAACCTTGAGCCTAATTCACAGAAACAATAGTATTAGAACAAATTCTTACAATGGAAGAAAGGCCGGGTTTTCTGTTCCTGTAAAGAGGGACAGTCTCAGAAGCCTACACGGGCAGGTCTACTCTGTCCTAGCAGGTTGCAATCTGTCAGGTGAACTGGATAGCAGGGAATTGTTGTTGTTGAGTATTTACAATGAGGTTTCTAATGTTACCCATAGCAGTGATGTTCAGAGAGGACTTGAGAAAGTAAGTTTAAGTTTCTTAAAGTTGCTATTGTTGTTGGGTGCTGTAGTGCCAATCCCCTGACTCATAGCAACTCAATGTGAGCACATAGGACTGCCTCACGGGGTTCTCTTGGCTGTAATATTTAAGGAAGTGGATCGGCAGGCCTTCCTCCTGCGGAGTCACTGAGTGGGTTTGAACCGACAACCTTTTCGTCAGCAGTCTACTTCTCAACTGGTGTCTTCTAGATGCTCCAAACAAAACCAAACTCACTGCCATTGTCTGCATTCTCACTCAGAGAGACCCTACACATGTTTCCAAGACAGAAATCTTTATAGGAGCAGACGGCTTCCTCTCTTTCCTGGAGAAAGGCTGGTAGTTTTAATTGCCCAACTTTTAGTTATCAGCCCAATGTCTAGAACACACAGCAAACTCAGGCCTCAAGAGTAATGAAAAAGATACGTGTGCTTCATTTCTGCGAGTAGAAGGCCAAATGAAAGGAGTTGGGAATTCAGGTGAAATACTTGGGAGACATGAATTGATCATTGTTGATAAAGGCAAGGATCTTGAATGTGAATATAATTAAGTAAGGGTTTTTATTTCTACGGTAAAAAGCATTTAAGCATTTATTGACTCACAGTCTTGTATTCCATGCAAACCTTACTGAGAAGCCTAATCAAATCAAATATCAAAGCAAAGAGTAAGAACAAGAGGGCAGTTTTACTCTGTCCTAGAGAGTCATCATGAGTATTCATCTACTCCAGGCAGTGGGCTTGGTTTCGGTAGTGTGTAATAAGATTATGAAAAACATTGGAAATGCTGTGAGAACTATCAGGCTGGGACCCAGGGACACAAAGCAAAGTCTAGGTGAAATGGTTACATAGATCAAACACAAACCCATCGCTGTGGAGCATCTTTCAACTCGTAGCTACCCAACAGGGCGAGCAGAAGTGCTCCACAGGGGGTCTGAGGCTGCATGAATGTGCACAGGACCGGACATCTGTTTCCCAAGGAGCAGCTCATGGGCTTGAACTTTGGGCCTTGTAGTTAACAGTCTGATGCTGAACCTACTATGCCCCCAGGGCGCCTTGGTGAGCACAGGTTTTTGGAATAAAGGATGCTGGTCGGCTTGATTGGCACAGGGTTGCCATAAACCTTCAATTTGTTGAAAAACATTCAATTTCTGTGAAGCACAATGAAGGCAAAGTAAAAAAGAGTATATCCGTCATCTGAAGGTCTGTTCAGTTGTTTTGTGACTATTTCATACAGCTGAACAACTCAAGGCCATTCACTCATTTCTGGCTCACAGCGCAACCCTGTAGAATGCCTAATACAAACCCAGACGTTCAGAAATATGCGCCACCCCACTAAGCTGACTGCGACTCACAGAGACCCTATACATCCAAATGACCAGAGGGTAGGGTTGAGTAGAGCAGGACTGATGTGCAAGCTGGGTTGTCAACTTAACTGTTCTGGAGAGTGGCGTCTCTCCAAGTGGAGAGGTGGGGGCTGTTTGAGAAGGGGGCCGTCTTCAGGTCCAGGACCTCCATTCTTGCTCTTAACCTGTTGGGGATGGCCCTGACTACAATCATCCAGATGCGCAATGACAACTGTTAGAGGTCACAGAGATGAAGGGTTGATTCGAGTTTGAGAAGTACATTAAGGGACGATAGCAAAATATTTACTGTTTAGATGCAGGGATGCAACAGATTCATCTCCATTGAAGAGAGGGATCTCTGTGGACAGTCGCTATGTGGCATGGAGGAATCTCAGGTGATCAGATTCCTGAAAATCTATTTAAATAAGAAAACACGAACAGGGAAATGGGACCTTCTGATGGGCCAGTTCCAATAAGGAGGGCTCATGCAGTCATGAACAGGTATGAGTATCTTTGCTTGATGTATAACTAAAGATAATTCTTACATGTGCCTCTTGTTTTTTCTCACTGCAACAAGAGTTAACAGACATGGGTATCAATGTATTCTCACGTGTCTGTAAGCAAGAGATGTACACAACCACTAATTGTTTAAAATTTTCTGTTCCACAAAATCTCTTCTGTTCTTGCTAAAACAGAAGAGTAGATGGTGTGGGAATGGAAACTAGGGCCTAAAGGAAGTTGGAGAAGCCCCGCTGGTGTCACAGTAAACAGCCTGGCTGCTAACAGAAAGGTCAGCAGTTTGAACCCTCCAGTGGTGATCTGCTCCCACCCAGGTGATATCCCAGAAAATCCTAAGGGCAGTTCTACTCTGTCACACGGGTGACTGGGAGTCACAATCAACTCAATGGCACCGAACACCAACAAGAAAGGAGGGATCGTTGGAGACCCTGGGGCTGCTTAGACAAGGAGCTTCTACAGCTCGCAGAGGCTGGTGCTGGTTGGGTTGGAGAGAGAAATGAAACAGTCAGGGCTTTGCTCCCCTTGCTGCATCGTTGCACACCCTTAGTGTTTTGCCCCGGTCGGTAGACAATTGGACATCCCCTTACAGAGGGGTCACGAGGAAGAGATGAGCCAGTCAGGGTGCAGTATAGCATGGATGAAACAAAGAGCTTTTCTCCCCCGCCCCACCATCATGACCCCAATTCCACCTTACAGATCTGGCTAGACCAGAGCATGTACAGAGGTACAGAAAAGAGCTCACAACACAGGGAATCCAGGACAGATAACCCCCCCCAGGACCAATAATGAGAGTAGCAATATCAGGAGGGTAAAGGGAAGGTGGGGGGAGAAAGGATGAACTGATCACAATGATCTACATATAACTTCCTCCCAGAGGGAGAGACAACAGAAAAGTGGGAAAAGGGAGATATTGGTCAGTTTAAGGCATGAAAAAAAAAAAAAAAGACATGAAAAAAAATTTATAAATTATCACGGGTTCTTGAGGGAAGGAGGGTGAGGAGGGGGGATGAGCTGATACCAAGGGCTCAAGTAGAAAGAAAATGTTTTGAAAATGTGATGGCAACCTATCTACAAATGTGCTTGACACAATGGATGGACGTATGGCTTGTGATAAGAGCTGTACAAGCCCCCAATACAATGATTCTTTTTTTAAGTTCAGAGCAAAATATGGACCTCGGGGTAGTCACTGTGAGTTCAAGCAATGCCAAGTCTAGCCAGACTTTTTGAGTAAATGCAAAGAGATGGTGGGTCTGTAATGGAAAAGCTATTCTGTGTGCAACTATAACCTTGACCTCCCAGTTCTGTGAACTCCAAGGCAGCGCGTGCTTGTGGAGAGTAAGCACACTGTGCATCCAGGGCCCGTCCTCTGCAGCAGTCAGGGACCTTTCTGAGAATGCAAAGAAAAACTAGTGCCCCTCCCCAATGCAACTTTTATGTGCAATACTTTACACTCATTCTCAAAATGTTCACGGAATTTCTGTGCCCATGTTTAGACCTGATGGTAAGAATCTCTGCTTATCAAGAAAAAAATAAAATAAGAATATCAATATGCTAACTGATCACCTTTGCATCTGGGCAGAGCACCAGTCCATTGTCCTTGGTATTTTTTTATGGAACATTGAATAGAGTTGCTTCCCAACAGGGTGAAGTTTTCATTACACTGGTATGTTACAGATTGTCCAGATGCATAATCGTTCTGCTTCTGTGTAATTTTTCCATTTTCAATACTGGGTGGTTCTGGACAAAATATTACTTAAAAGAAAAATTCAAGAACTTTTCAATAAACAAAACTGGCAAGGCAGTTTATAAATAAGTAATATTAAAACATATTGAATACTTTGTTATTATTTTTAATAATTGTGTTTTTTTAAATTACCATTACCAATAATTATGTTTTTATTACCAATTTAAATGACCAATAATGATGTTTTTTAAATTACCATCCATTTTATAAGGGATGCTTACAAAAATGCGTACTAAATATTTAGCATTTGGAGCTTGGCATGTGCTAAGTTGTGGAAGCTTAATATTCAGTTGAAGCAATATTAGATTGTTACATATATTAGAATATATATTTACAATGGAATAAAGACAGGGCTTTCTCTTCCCATCGACACTTAGTCTCAGAAACCCACAGGGGCAGTTGTATTCTGTCCTCTCAGGTTGCTACGAGCCAGTGTCAACTCGACGGCAGTGAGTTTGGTTGTTGTTGAGTATTTTCAATGAGGTTTCACATGGTACACATGGCAGTGACAGTCAGAGAAGTAAAGAGAACTTGAGCTTAAACTCAGGTCTTCCCTTGTTACTGTTGCTGGGTGCTGTAGATTCAAGCTTCGGACCCCTAGCAGCCCAATGTGACTGTGTAAAAGTACCCCACAGGGTTTTCTTGGCTTCAGTATTTAAGGAAGTGGATCGGCTGCCTTTCTCCTCCAGAGTAGCTGTTTGGGTTTGAACCACTAACCTTTCGGTCAGCAGTCTACTGCTTAACCGGTTTCTTCTAGATGCCCCAAACAAAAGCAGACTCACTGTCTGGATTCTCACTCAGAATGACCCTACACATGTTTCCCAGACAGAAAGCTTTAAAACACGCAGACAGTTTTCTCTTTCTCCTGGAGAGAGGCTGGTGGCTTTGAATTGCCCACCTTTCAGTGATCAGCCCAATGTCTAGAACACAAAGCAAACCTAGGGCTTACAAGTGGTCCAAAGGACACTTGCTTCATTCCAGGGAGGAAACACGCCTAACGAAAGGAGTTGGGAATTTGGGTGGCATACTTGGGAGATACAAATCGATCACTTTTGATAAAGGAGAGGATCTTGAACGTCAATATAATAGAGTATGCATTTTTACTTCTAGGATAAAAATAATTAAGTATATATTGACTAACAGAGTTTTGTAATCAATGCAAAGATTATGGAGAAGCCTATCGTGTAAAACTAATGCAAGTAGAACTGTCCCTGTTATCTAGTAAATTAAGGGCTCTCTTTGGCAGTTGCCCCAATTAAAAAAAATCAGTAGTTCCATTTCTCTAGGGCCATCATAGTGTCTGATTTTATAGTTTTGGCAGAAAGGCATTATCACATCAAGACAACATGTTAAAAGATATGCTATGTTATACCATAGGCACGTAAATCCTGAAACAACACCGGGAATGTATCAATTCTCTTGATTAATATGCTTTAAGAGCAAAGCAAAGAGCAAGAACAAGCTAATCTGCTTGACAACAGGTGAAGGTGTGCGGTTATGTAGGCACACCACAGAGATATTGCAGGTACAGGGTTCAAACCATTGCAATAAAGCAAATATCGCAAAACAGTGAATTACACTTGCTTGTTTGTTTGGAGTCTTTAGGCTGTACAACAATTGGAGGGATGTTCAGGCCCAGGTGGTGTCTGGTTCTGTTGGACGCTGGTTCGCTATGACTTGGAATCAACTCGCTCCCAACAATATGCTGGCGTCTCTTGGGCAGGCAGGAGCCGTGACGGCACAGTGGATTAGGAGTGAGGCTGCTAGCACAAGCTCAGCTGTGCAGGTTCATGAGCGGCTCCATGTGGGAAAGAGAAGGCTTTTGACTTCAGTAAGATTTATAGCTTCAGGAACCCCAAAGGGCCAGTTCTTCACTATCCTACAGTGTTACCATGAGTGCCGATCAACTCCATAGTAGTGGGCTTGGCTTTGGGGTTTCTGTAGCCCAACAAGTGTGTCATAGGGTTAGGAAAATGATGGAAATGCAGGGAGAATTATTGGGCTGTGACACAGAGGCATAGACCAAAGTCTACGTGAAGTGGTCACATAGACCATACATAACATCCACGGCTGCTGAGTGTCTTCTGGCTCGTAGCTACCTGACAGGGCGAGCAGATCTGCTCCGCAGGTGGTCTGAGGCTGCATGAATGTGCACAGGCCCAGATAGTCTCGTCTGCTTCCCAAGGAGCAGCACATGAGTTTGAGTCCATGGTCTTGTGGTTGGACCTATGCTTAACCTATTGTGCCGCGAGGGCCCCTTAGTGAGCACAGGCTTTGGGAATAAAGGATGATGGATGGTAGGTTTGATTGACACAGGGTTGCCACCAACCTTCAATTTATAAAAAACGCAATTTATATGAAGCACAATCGACACAATAAAACAAAGTATGCCTGTACATACCTTCCGTAATGATCAAGTCAATTACTTTCTGAATGCTGCATTAAACTAAAATAATGCACGGGCATTGAGTCAGTTCTGACTCGTAGAGATGCTATACAAGGCCTAATACACGCACCCCTGCCTCAAGTTAATTCCTATTCCAAGAGACCTTCTGTGGGGTTCTCACATAAATATTTATGGGAGCAGACAGCCTTATGTTTCTCCCATGAAGCAGCAGGTCTGCTCTGCGTTGCAGGTGCTGACCATTTGCTTAGCAGTCTAACACCTACCTCACCACACCCCCCAAAGCTACACAGAGGCTGTGTGCAGAGAATAAAGAAAAGCAGTTAATCCATCGGGGGAAGTCAAGGACAGCTTCCAGGATGACCACTCCAAAGCAGGCTTTTGATGAGGAAAAGACAGCCAAGGAGCGACATGTCTGAAGAGCATTTCCCAGCAGGGACCTCGGCATAAGGAATGGTATGGGAGCAGGAAACAGCCCCGGGGCTCATGAAAGTCTGCAGTTTGTGTTGAAAGAGTGCAAAGGATGAAGGCAAGGGGTGTGCATGAGGAAGTGGTAGACCATGACCACCCTGGAGTGTGAGCTCGGTAAGCGATGGGAAACCCGCGTAAACTTTAAGAGGAATGAGAGACACTGTGCTTGTGTGTCAGATAGAGTATGGGTGAATCTGGGAATGAGAATAGAGGCAGGAGGCTATCCTGTCATGCTGGAAGCCAGGCCATGGGACGCCTGACCAGGCTCCACTCCTTCCAGGGCCATGTTCTGAGTGTCTCTGACTCTGCTTCTCCTCACCCCGTGGGCTGCCTTCAGGGCTGAGAGGATAATTGAGTCTGTGTCCCTCCATTCTAACTCTTGCTCCTGAAAGTAGCACTCAGAATGCCCTGTGTCGAAACTCAGAATCACCACGATGGCAAGAGTTTGCCCTCTGGGTTGTCTGCAGGGTGGCAACCATTAAGCCTTTGACTACTAGCTGCAAGCTTGGCAGGGTTCACCACCCCAGAGCTACCTGGCTGTCTGCTTCTGAAAGGTCCCAGCCTTGAAAACCCAATGGAACAGGTGTGCTCTGCACAGGTGGTGCTGCCACGAGTCAGACTTGACCTGGCAGCAGCTACCAGCAACAACACATCTCTACTCAGGTGCCCGAGGGGTTGCCGCCTCCTGACATCTATAACCTTGATGGTGGGTTATACTGCGGTGCGCACACCTCTGAATCCAAAGGACAGGAGATTGGGGATAAGATTCATGGTATTGATTGACGTGCAAGCTGGGTCATCCACTGAACGGCTCCATAGAGTGGCCCCTCCTAGTGTGGGTAGGAGGGGGCTATTTCAGAAGGGCTCGGTCTGTAGGCCAGTGATCTCTATGGAATTTCTTACCCTGGGCTCTGAAGGTGTTAAGGCTACTCTGACTGCAATCATCCAGATGAGCGCTAACATCTCCTATTAGAGATCCTACAGATGAAGGGTAGATCCAGATTTGAGAAGTACAGCAAAAAAATGCAATGATTAGATTCAGGGGATGAGCAGAGTCTCAGTTGAAGTGAGGGATCTCAGATGACAGAGAATATGTGGCATGGATGGATTCCAGATTACGGGGGTATTTGAAAAGGCATTTAAATAAGACAACACTGAAAAAGGAGGAGACAGGGCCTTCTGATGAGCCAGTTCTAATAATGAGGCTTAATTCAGACTACACAAGTATTACCTTCATTTGATGAATAACTGAAGATAATTCTTAAGTGTGCCTGCTGTTCTTTCTCACTCCGACATGAGTTTACAGACATGGGTATCAATGTATCCTCACGTGTCTACAGGCAAGAGATGTGCACACCGCTACTTGTTTGAAATTTTATGTCCCGCAAAATCTTTTCTGCTGTTGCCCAAACAGGATAGTAAGTTTTGTGGACAATAAAAAGGAGCGCCTAAAGAAAGTTAGAGAAGCCGTGGTGGGGCAGCCATTAAGAGCCCGGCTGCTGACAGAAAAGGTTGTGAACCCCCCAAGGTGGATCTGCTCCCATCAAGATTATATCCTAGAAAATTCTACCAGCAGTTCCACTCTGTCACATGGGTCGCTGTGCGTCACAATCAATTCAGTGGCCCTAACAGCAACGAGGGAAAGTAGGACTGCACGGGGATAGTTGAAGACCCAGGGTTGCTTAGGAAAGGGCTTTCTCCCATAGCATGCAGATGCTGGTGTTTGCCGACTTGGAGAGAGAAATTAAATGTCAGAGGAAAATATGGACATTGGGCTATTCACCATCAATTCAAGCAACCTAAAGTCTAGACAGGTGTCCAGAACTGGGCAAGTGAAAAGAGAAGGTGGGCTTGTAATGGAAAAGCTCTTCAATGTTCAACTATATACTCAGCATCCACAGTCCTGTGAAATTCAAGGCAGCGTGTGTTTGTGAATAATATTGACCTTTAGATTAGGAGACTTCTTGTCCAGACTTTGTGATGCATGGTGCGTAGCACCATTACTTTAGTACTTTGTCTAGCATATCCTCCTGAATGGCAGTAATGGAAAAGGTGCTATTGGGTACCAGTGAATAGAATTTTAAACAGAAATAATGATGATAACAAGAATTGGTTGATGCAGAAGTTAGGGGACAGTGGCACAAGGTAGGTGTGAAAGGAATAAGGTCCTTCGACAGCCAGGGCCTCTCTTCATTTGTCTTCTTATCAGTTGAGTGCACACATTCCTATCACAGACTGTCAATGAATAAGCACTTGTTAATGATAGGCATACCTCAGAGATATTGCCGGTTTTCTCTGCCCTAAAGCGAAGACCAAAATAAAGCAGTCACATGATTCCCGTGCCACCCACCACCAGGGGTTTCCCAATGTACATAGAAGTTATGTTTTCCACTCTCCTGTAGTCTACTAAGTGTGCAAGAGCATGTAAGAATTATTTAAATCTGACAGGGGCAGAAAGTGAGCACATGATGTTGGAAAAGTTGCCACCAGATTTGCCCACTGCAGAGTCACCACAAACCTTCCAGGTGTATAAAGATGCGACATCTGCAAAGCACGATGAAGCCGAGTGCAATAGACTGAAGAAAGCATGACACTTCCTGCTGTGAACAACAATCCCACTTCAACTAAGCCATGACTTTGACAACAGGGCAGCGGTTCTCAACCTGTGGGTTGCGACCCCTTTGGGCATCCAATGACCCTTTCACAGGGGTTACCCGGTTCATAACAGCAAAATTCATAACTAGCAAAATTACAGTTATGAAGTAGCAACGAAAACAATTTTTCGTTGTTGGGGGGGGGGGGCGGGCGGTCACCACAACATAAGGAACTGTATTAAAGAGTCTCAGCATTAGGAAGGTTGAAAACCATTGCACTACGGGTTTCAGAAGTCATTGAAGAAGTGCAAGTTCACGTTCAGAAAGAAAGATGGCAGAAAGAAAGTATGTTGTGTGTATTATCTTACTCCCAATTGTCTCCAGGCATGAATCTCTAATGGACATGGGTTTTGCTTGGTACATCCATTCATGAGAGTTCTGGGTTCCTCTCTCCCCTTGAAAAGGTAAGATACTCAAGTGCAGAAACCATATTTTTTTCTTTATTAGGTAGCCATACACCTTTAATAAGAAAAGCATCACACTTTAAAGCACTCCCAAACAATTATCTCAATAATCAGTACAACCCTGAAAGGAGAAATGGAGGCAACATTGGTCTTAGGGAAAGTGATCGGCTTGAAGTCAACACACCTGTATTAAATGTCTTCTCTTACTGCTTGTTTTGAGTTAGAAAGTCAAGTCATATAGACTCACTGATTCATAGTACTTTTCACCCATAACATTTTAGACAAAGGAAAACCACATCTCTGTTACCTGACTGTTAAAATGGCTACATATCAAATGACCCATGTGCCATCAATCTGTTTCCCCTCCTTAATCTATAGTGAAGGATAAAGGTTTGGATTGCCATGACAGCTAATAAATGATGGTGCTGCACTAAAAACTGGTCTTTCACTTAACGGAAACTGTCATGTTGAAAGGAGATGGATAATAGGAAATGAGCCCAAAGCCATTGTCATTCACTTTGTAGCTCTAGAACCCGAGAGCTCGCGTTTGTTTTTAAGGTCTTACCTTTGCACTCTGGCAGCGGGTCTCTCCACGCAACACTGGCCCCCGAGACAGCACAGAAAGTATAGGTTGCACCCTCTAAGATGTACCTAAAAGCAGGGGAGGAAAAAGAGGGGGGAAATGGCTCCCTCAGTACACATTGCCTCAAGGTCTTCAGCATATCATCTTAAAATATTTTACACCAGTAAAGACAAAACAATAGTTGATAAATGGTCAGGTGCTAGAAGCATTTTTTAAAATTACATTTAAAAGAGACTAAACAAGTCTATAACATATGGAATAGCTTTATATTTGCATCGGGCACATGTTTCAAAATATACTTGCATTTTATATTTCTGAGTTCTGAACAGTCAATACAGCTACTCAGAGAATGACACAATCAGTTTATATTTAAAAAGTTCAAAACCTCCTCCGTGTTCTATGTTAACCACTCGAATATGTGTGTCTAGCATAGGAGGTGAATGATCTGTCTCTATAAATATATACCTCTACCTGTCACACATAGCGCAACATAACTGCTCAATGCTAACTGAGAAGGTGAGTGTAAACTTTTAAGCAGTGACTGAAACATGGTTGGTGTTTAGTGAGTTCCTTTCCCAACACAAAAAATTTGTAAAAGACTTCAGGTGAGAGTGATATTACACACCAGGGAAACATTATTTTAACCCAGGGTATTTTTGTAACAGTTATGTAATAGTACCGTATGTCATATAGAAAAATATTATATAATTTTAGCTAGAAAAGCCCATATGAAAATTATTTAGTAAACTTAAAAATTGATTTCCTGTTTAAAACTTAAAGATTGTCTTTCTGCAAGTACTGTCAACAAATCTCGTTAATTATTTTTCTTTTGCTAAGTACTCAACATTTGAAATTGTACAATTGAATCACATATGTAGTAAAAGCTAAGAATTTAGAGAATTTGGTGGTGTAAGAAAACTTTTTTATGTGATGGGCTTCCTATTTTCTCCATTCTCTTTTTAAGAAGTCTCTCTTGTCCCATGTGGAGAGATTACAGTTTGATGAGTTCGTGATGAAGGGTATTTGGAGAGAGGCCGGGCTGTGGTTCCTGCAAACCTGTAAGCCATAGCTGTGCTCAATCGGAACTGTGTTTTCTTCTGACACATAGCATGTTCAGTATGCTACAACTTACCCTTCTTCACATGAAAAGAAGATCTGGGCGCCAAAATACTTGTCAGTTATATTGATATGCCCATGTTTTAAAGGCCCAGGTTCAGGGCATGCTTTCCCTAAAACAGAACAGAAGCACATGTTCCACATTACGTTATAAGGCAAATTAATGTGCCTATTCATCATCTGAGCCACTGGTATTCCTTACGTTTAGATCTCTCCATTCTGCCTTCATTTCATAGAGTATTGAGCATCCATTTGGTTAAGACATGCAGAAAGACAGGTGACCCCTTGAAACGTTACACCATTTTGTCCTGAAACAGCAACACTTTTAAAATGAAGTAGACTATTATTTCATTTTAAAGCAGCGGTTCTCAACCTGTGACCTTTTCACAGGGGTCGCCAGATTCATAACAGTAGCAAAATAACAGTCATGATGTAGCAACAAAAATCATTTCATGGTTGGGGGGGATCCCCACAACATGAGCTGCTGTCTGGGTGGGTCGTGGCTGAGGATGGTTGAGAACCGCTGCAGCAAATCCCTTGCTACTGTGTCCAGTCTGCCTCACAGTGAGCCTGTAAGACAGAGGAGCGCTATTGATAGCTTTTCCAAGGCAGACCGCCCCATCTTTCCTTTGCGGAGCAGCCGCTGGGTTTGGAATACCCCTTTCAGTTAGTAGTGGAGTGCTTAACCACTGTGCCACCCAGGAGTCTTCAGCTAATTAAAAGGGAAACCTGTGAGCTCATGACTATTCCTAGCACACATATCCTGAGACCTGCCTAATGACTCTACTGGTTCTTTCAGAATTCTTCTAAATAGTAACATATGCACATTGGGCTTCAGCCAGGAGGAGGAACGAGACACAATTCCCTTCAAACCCCATGGGCTAAAGAATACCCTTTAAAGTCATACTCACTTTTACATATGTTAGGAAGTTTGGACCATGTGACATTTGTAAGGCAAGTGATTGTTGCAGGGACAGACTCAATCCTTTGGTACCCTTGTCGACATTGGTATTCCACAGTGAAGCCCACCGGGAAGTAACTATATCTGACGTAACGCCTGTCGAAGGTGGCGACAAGTAGAATAGGTGGAGCGTCACAGCTGCCTAAAAAGCAAGGGCAAAAGTGACATCAAAAAGCAGTCTCACCCTATTTTATAATCTACCGTTAGTTATCTCACCCTCAATTACCCCCTTTTCTGTATTTATATATGCATCTTTAGTATTTATCTAGGTATAGCAAGAATATTCACACACATACTAATCACTAGAGGTCTGTGATGTAGGTGGGGATATAGATGTCACAATCCCCAACCAAATGTCACAATCCCTAACATAACCCAGCTAGAGTACTTATTTACCTGGGTATATTTCAGAATCAGCTCTATGATAGTGAGTATTCGGTTACTGTCCGGCAGAATTCTGACACGCACGCAGTAAGTGTGTAGTTCCCTTGCCCTGCTCTAAGCAATCTCACAGCAAGACCATGAGACAGGGATAGAAATGAACCAGTATTTCCAGCCCCCGAGGCTAAGACCCTAAACAACAACAATAGTAACAATAAGCCAAACCCACTGCCATCTAGTCATTCTGTCTCATAGAGACCTTATAAGATAAGAGTAGAAACTGGTCCCTAGGGATTTCTGAGGCTGTGAATCTTTAAGGGGGCACAGAATTCCATCTTCTCCTGAGGAGGACGTAGTGGACTGGAAAGGCGGACTTTTGCTTAGCAGCCTAAAACTAATCACTACACCACCAAGGCTGAGTTTATAATTATAAAAAAATTTTCAGAATCTAATGCATACTATTAAGACTTGTAAAACCATTTGCAGAATTCAACATACAATAAATACCAACTCTAAAATGCTTTATAATGCTGCAAAATGCTTTATAAATATCAACTCAATCCCCACAGTAACCCTATGAGGACAGGGTAAGATAGGGATTGATAGTGCCTGTAAAAGTATTTACACACTATAAAAAGCTGAACAAATGTGAATTTAGAAAGGCATAGGCTAGTGAAAAGGGCATCGATTTTGTCATCTACAGACCCGAGCTGAAACCCTGGCTCCTCCAGGGAAGAGCTGGAGCTCTTGCGAAAGTGATTTAACTTCTCAGGGCCTGGTTCCTCTACTGTAAAATGGGCACCAGAGTCCCTGTGATCTTTGAAGGATTAAATGCAGTAATATATGTGTGAAAGAGTTGAAAACTATAAAACCCAGTACATAGGCAAAGGCTTTATACACTTCAGCCTACTGCATTTTTGTCATGGACAAGTCAAAAGAAAAATTAATTAAAAATTAAATAACTAGGTATATGTCTCCACCTGAGCTATAAAAATGGATCTTTGAGCTCGAATTCAACTGCAAGCCTTAACCTAAGAACAATCAGCTCTTACAATGTGGCCCCAATCCAAGACTTACTTTCATGAAGGCATCGCTGAAGATATGGGTGCTATAGCAAAGGGTGGTGAAGAAATCAGATAGGACACAGCTAGAATAGGATCTGGGGGTCTATAAAGCTTGTCTTAAAACAAGCAGCCATATAAATAAGGTGACTACTAAGCCCACACAGGTAAAGTACATCAGCCTGTGTGATCCGACGATTGTAAACAATAAAATCCAAATCAGAGGAGGGACATTTATGGGAGCTTAAATTCTGAGCATCTAATTGACAGAAGGCCATGGATGACAGTGAGCACTCCAAATCCATTTGCAGAGTCCCAACAGACAATAAGCCTCCCTTGAACACCCTCAGACCATGGGCCAGGGATGCAAAACGCTCCGCCCTTGGACAGAATACATCACAAAGTGAATTATTACAGATACTCTTAGGTTAAAATTTAACATCTTATAATTAATCCCCTTTAAACCATTCTTAATTTGTTCTTTTTCTTTTATTTTCTGCATTCTTTTGGATTGCAAAAAAAGCGGGGGCGGGGAGAAGTCACTATCACTGAACAAGTTGAACGGAAGATATGAAATGGAAAGCAGATCTTCTGTTTTACACAAACACAACAAAATCTCCTATTTTAAAAAGTGAATGACGATTTCATGCCTGGTTTCAAGTTGCTCAAAGGCAGGGATGGAATCTTAGCTAATATGGTTCTGAAGCAAACAGGGAATGTGTTTTAAAATGACACTACAGAGTTGTGATTGGTGGGTCCTACTTTACAAAACGCAACTTAAGCAAACAGATCACCTATGCCATGTGTCCCAAGGGAATTGCCAAGTAGATTCGTATATAATTTACTCCCTAAGCAATACCCATTGTTTGCTTTCTCCATTAGCCTGTTCAGGAGGTACAGTGTTAGGGGGAAAAAAAACTCTTAATGAAGAAGCAGTACTTATTCCGGGAAGCAGTGCCTTCAATTAGCTAGAGTGTGAAGTGCCAACAAGTTGTGCCCTGGGGCCTAATGATGCTAGAAAACTATCAATTACCAGTCACTCTGCAGAGGTATAAAAATAAACTTAACAAGATACTTCCATCTTCATAACTTTAAAAAACAGAAGTTAAGAACTTACGGTTACACAACGTTGAAATTTTGGACCATTGATTGTTGTCTAGGCAGGCCACTGCATCTGTCTGGCCAGGGATTTTAGCAAAGCCTTTGTTACATGTGTAACGTATTATCTTTCTCACAGGAAAACTGTTATGACTTCCCACAGTTGGCCGGGCATTAGGTACATATGGGGGAAACCCGCAGCCACCTAGAGAGGAGAAAAAAACCCAGAAATGAATGAAAGGACAGTTTTCAATCTATTGCAACATTCTTTTCCAAGACGAAAAGGGAAGAACGAAGCAGCAGGGAACAATTCATCGGGGCTGAATGGACTCTAAGAACTTGGTAGAGCTCACATGTAGTCAACTGGTTCGAGGCTAAAATAAGAATGTGCTCCCCTTCCTTATTTAAAAAAGTGAAGAGGGAATGGAATTTATCGAGGGTTTATATAGACAATGCTGTTAAAGTTGCAGAAAGACACTTCAAAACGTTAAACAAGTGAAGAGGGAATGGAATTTATCGAGGGTTTATATAGACAATGCTGTTAAAGTTGCAGAAAGACACTTCAAAACGTTAAACCTCAAAAGTCACCTCCCCAGGAGGAGACCACCATGCGCTGGAACGCTGCTCACTTGGGCTCTACCTTGGGAGGTGGGAGTAGCCCTCTAGCCTCCCAAGGGTAAAAAGAAGAGCCCTTGGCGATTTAAGAATCCACTCTATTTCCAGCATTGCCTCTTGGCTTTCCCAAGTTTGGCTGCTCCCTCTCCAAACTTTCTTGACGCTCCAATCTCAACCTCAAAGTCTTGCCAACTGGGTCCTGCACAGTTAGCTCCCCAAGTGTTGATTAGCCGTGGAGATCCGTTTCCTGGTCCCTACGGATCAAATCACCAGAAGCCGTGAGCCTTAAAAATCAAGGATTACGGGAACAACTAACTAACCCCACAAAACAACACCCCCAGACCCGTTGGCTCCCATTCGACGCCGCGGGATAGATAGAAGGGACCTAAAGGCTTTCGGAGGGTCTCAGTCTTTAGAGCCACCGGTTACAGTTTTCTCCAGGTGGAGCGGCTGGCGGGGTCCAACGGATGTGGTTGGCAGGGGTCAACTGGCCATCTTTGCCCCTTCTCCCCCCCGCCCCGAAGTCGGGCGCTTTAACCACGGCACCACCAGGGAACCCCTCCCCTACGGAAACCATTACCGATGCCCAAATTCCTCAGCTCCCCAGGTCGCCAGCCCCTCTCGTCCCACGCCGCCCAGATTCCCAAGCCCTCTCAGGGGCGTCTAAGGGGGGCCCGGCGTGGCGGGGCCCGCGCCCAGCTCACCCCGCACGGCCGCCGGCGAGCCCAGCAGCAGCAGCAGCCAGGCCAGCGCCGCGAGGAGCTTCAGAACTGCGGCCGAGCTCATGGCGCGCGGGGACGGGGACTCTGCCCCGGACTCCGCGCCTCCGCGGCGATAAGCGAGTCGGTGGGCAAGAGGAGCTGTCCGCGCGAGCAGCGGCCCGAAAGGTTGCTCTCCGGCTGAATGAGCGCCGCGGGCGGGCGGGCGGGGCTCCGGTCGCCCGAAGGGTGGGGCCGGGCAGACGGGTGGAGAGCGGGTTTGCGCAACAGGCAGCCGGGTGCTGGGTGAGACGAGGGCGTGGTCTCGAGCGGCTCGGGCTCTTTGGGGCTCTGGACTCCAGAAGAGGGGTCCTGGGCGGGAGGGGAGCAGCAGGCCGGCACCCTCACCCCCGCCCACACACACCGCTGCTAAGGTGGGGCTGCCACGAGCAGCTGTCTGGAAAAGTGGATTCTCTTTCAAGTGAAAAACAAAAACCAGAAAGCAAAAACTGGCGGACGGAGGAACGGGGAGTGGGGTGGTTCGGGGCCCGCTTTGCCTGCCTGGATTCCGAACTACTTGAATTTAAGAGGACTTTCAGTGCCCTGGAGCTGGGCAAAGCCCAATCAATGATCTTGAGTTGAAAATTCCAGGTAACGATTAAAGAATGAGGAAGAAAAAAACAACAACAACGAAAACCGTTGCCATGGAAATAAATTCTGACGTGTTGACATCCCCTCCCCACCCCACCCTCCCCAGTGTGTCAAAGTCCTTGGGCTCCGCAGAGTTTTCATGGGCTGAATTTGGGGAAGTATGTTGCCTGGATAGATGACCAGGTCTTTCTTCCAATGTACCCCTTGTTGTACACCTGTGTTTCAAGGCATAGAAGGCTTTTAATAAAATCTTAGGAATAGAGCCAATGGGTTGCTGGCTGGATGATGTGCTGTAGAATCAGACTGGGAAAAATTCGCTGTTCCTCTACTTTAATAATTCAGAAGCCCAAGCCACACCCACACTAATTAAATCAGTCTCCGGGGATGGGGCTGGGCATTAGGGTTTATATCACCAAGCAACTACACTGAGCATCCACATTTGAGAAGCATGGATTCACATGAGGCTGGCAGAGTAGGGAGCCCTGTGGAGTCCTGGCTTCATGTGATCAGAAAGTTAGGTAGTTCGAAACCACCAGCATCAACCGGGAGAAAGGTGTAGATTTTTTAACTCCTGTAAACAGCTACAGTCTCGAAAAAATTCATAGGGGGTAGTTCTACCCTGTCCTTCAGAGTAAGGCACAACTGGTGACTCAATGGACAAAGCTTCTGGCTGTGAGCCCAGTGGTCTGCTGTTCAAACCCACTAGCTACTCTTCAGGAGAATGCTACACTCTGCTTTCTTAAAGAGTTTGGCTGGGAAACCCCACGGGAGGTTCTACTCTGCACACAGGGTGCCTACGAGCCAGAACCAGCTCTAAAGTCATGGATATGGGGGTCAAAGTGAAAATCTGCCCAGCCCATCAGTGTCCCTGCCCAAAGCATTTAAAGGGCATTGATGGAAAAGTCAGGTGCTCATCTTCAGAGAGACTAGCCCCCAAACATGGTCCCCTTAGTAACGTCTTTGGTTCTGGTTAGTAGAATCCTAACCTAGATTTCATTTTCTTCAAACTCAAAATATAACGAAACAAAGAGCAACCTTCACCGTAGTCTATTCACGGAGACCCCATTTGTCACACAGTAGAACTGCCCCACAGGGTTTTCGTGACTGTAATCTTTACAAAAGCGGAGTGTTAGGCCTTTGTTCCATGGAGCTGGTGAATGGGTTTGAGCCATGGCTTGTTTGGAAAGTGTTGTTATTGTTAGGTTCCATCAAGTCTGTTTTGACTCAGCCCTTTTAAAACAGAAGGAAAGACTGCCTGGTGGTGCATTTTCACAGTTACTCTCCTGTTTGAGCCCTTTGTTGAAGCCATGCTGTCGATTTACCTCATTGTCCTCTTTTTCGCTGACCCTCGACTTTACCAAGCATGATGTCCACAGTACTTGAGACAAAGTCTCATCATCCTTTCCTCTAAGGATCATTCAGGCTGTACTTCATTTGGGACAGATTTGTTTATTCTTTTAGAAGCCAGTGACCCTTCAATATTCTTTGCCAGCACCATGATTCAAGCTAATTGATTCTTCTTCAGATTTCCTTATTAAATAACCAACTTGCATATGCATATGAGGTTACTGAAAATATCATGGCTTGGGCCAGGTGCACCTTAGTCCTCAAATAAAAATCCTTGCTTTTCAACACTCTAACGATGTATGTGTAGCAGAATTACCCGATGCAATGCGTCTTCTGTGAGCGTTGATTGTGGACCCCAGAAAGAGAAAATCCTCGACAACTTCAATCTTTTTTTCATGTATCATGTTACTGATTGGTCCAGGTGTGAGGCATCTGGTCTTGCTTACATTGAGTGGTAATCCACAGTGAAGCCTACAGTCCTTGATCTTCATCAGCAAGTCCTCTTCACGTTCAGCAAGCAGGGTTGTGTCATCTGCATATCACAGTTTGTTAATAAGCCCTCCTCCAATCCTGATGTCACATTCTTCTCCATAAAGTGTAGCTTCTCTGATGATTTGTTCAGCGTCCAGATTTAAGTATGGCAAGAGAAGACGATCTTCACGCACACCTTCCCTGATTTTAAAGCATACAGTATTCCTTTGTTCTGTTCACCCAGCTGCCTCCTGATTCAGGAGCACAACAAAGTGTTCTGGAATTCCCATTCTTAAGACTATTGAGTTAGTTAATTGTGCCAGCCTGGCCAATAATCACATGTGGTGCTGGTTGAAAGGCGGAGGGATAAATGGGTGGTGAGCCTGGGCCTTTCTAGTTCTCGGGTCTCTTGTTTTGTGATGGTTGTATCGGGTGCAGCTGCCTTAGCAGTTCCCTGCTTCAGCTTGCAAGATTGACTTCCTACAAGACATCCCCATGGAGAAGCCGCAGGGATCTATCCCGATGCAGCCCTGGGTGCTGGAGCAGCAGTGTGGAGACCCTTGCCAGTGCTGAGATGTTTACACGTTCACGGACTCAGCTTTCCTCCTGCAGTCGGCATCATTGCCTCTGTTTTGTGAGGTGGAGGACTTTGTGGACTGGTGTTGGGTTAATGGGTTAATGTTGGACTTGTGGGCTTGGGCAGCATTGGGTTGGGATGTTTTCGTGATGCACCTTTTCTTTACATAAAACTCTCTCTTATACGTGAGTCGCCATGGATTTGTTTCTCCAAAGTACCTAGACTATTACAACTATCCATGGTTTGTTGTCATCCACACAGCCGAATGCCTTAGCATAGTCCGTAAAACACAAGTAGACATCTTTCTGGTAGTCTCTGCTTTCAGCCAAGATCCATCTGACATCAGCAAATGCTATCCCTTGTTCCAGGTCCTCTTCTGAACCTCTGACAGATCCTCGTCAATGTACTGCTGCAACCATTATCGGATGATTTTCAGCAAAATTTTACTTGCCTATAATATTAATGATATTGTTCTATAATTTGGGCATTCTGTTGTGTCACCTTTCTTTGAAATGGGTACAAATATGGATTTCTTACAGTCAGTGAGCCCCAGTGACTTAATGGTTATGCACTGGGCTGCTAGCCACAACTTCAGCAGTTTGAAACCACCGGGCACTCCTCTGGAGAAAGAGGAGATTTTTGACTCCTGGAATCAGTTACAGTCTCAGAGCTGCCACTGGGGCAGTTCTATACTATTCTTTAGGATCACTATGAGTTGGCATCGACTCACTGGTAGTGAGTTTGTTTTGCTTTGGGTTTTCCAGTCGGTAGCTGTCTTCCAAATGTCCTGGCAGAGATGAGTGAGTGCTTCCAGGGCTTCATCAGCTTGTGGAAACATTTCAGGTGGCATTCCATCAGTTCCTGGAGCCTTGTTTTTGGTTAATGCTTTCAGTGCAGCTTGGACTTCTTCCTTCAGCACCATCAATACTTTCTCACATGCTACCTCCTGAAATGGTGAAATGTCGACTAGTTCTCTTTGGTACAGTGACTCTGTATTCTTTCCAACTTCTTGTAATGCTGCCTGCATCATTCAATATTTCCCCCATAGACTCTTTCAATATTTCAGCTCCAGGACAGAGCTTTTCTTGAGTTCTTTCAGGTTAAGAGAGGCTGAGGACCAACTAGATGGCAGTGAGTTTGCCTTTGCGGTCTCTTGCTATCTTCATATATGATGTTCTTGTTGCCGTTCCACAGTTCATCAGAGCTCCATCCTTGGAGTTCAATTTGTTAAATCTGTTCCGGAGATTTTCAAGAAATTAAAAAAATTTTCAAGGAATACAACCCAAGGTTGTATTTTGGGTCTCACAGACTTGTTTTGATTTTCTTCAACTTCAATATGAACTTACCTTTGAGCAATCAGTCTGTTCCACAGTCCGGCCCCAGCCTCATTTTAGCTGCTGATACGGAGCTTTTCTATGGTCTCTTCCCATAGTTATAGTCAATTTGAGTTCTGTGTATTGCATCTGGAGAAGTATTGCCATTTGTGTTGATAAAAAAAGATATTTGCCACGAACAAGTTGGTGCTCTTGCAAAATTCTATCATGAAATCTCCATTTCTATTTCTATCACCAAGACCATATTTTCCAACTGCTGTTCTTTCCTATTTGTTTCCAACTTTTTTATTCCAATTGCCAGTAATTATCAATGCACCTTGATTGCATGGTTGATCAATTTCATACTGAAGACAGTGGTAGAATTATTCAACTTCTTCATCACAAACTTTAATGATTGGTGCATACATTTGAATAATAGTTGTACTGATTGGATTTCCATGAACTTGGATAAATATAATCCTATCACAAACAGCATTGTAATTCAAGATCTTAAAATGTCCTTTTTGACAATGAATGAAATGCCATTCCTCTTGATTGGGTCACTCCGAGCATAGTAACCCATATGATTTTCTTATTCAAAATGGCCAATAGCAGTCCTTTTCACTCATTGATACCTAGGATATTGATCTTTATGCATTCCATTTCATTTTTGACAACTTCATACATTTCAAGTTCTGATTATTAGTTGATATTTGCAGCTGGTTTTCCTCATTTTGAGTCATGTCCCATCAGCAATTGAAGGCCCCAGAGTCATTACTTCCACCAGCTTTACTTCATCCAAGTCATTGTGGTCGACTCTACTTTGAGAAGGCAGCTCTTCCTCAGTCGTATTTTGACTGCCTTCTGTGCTAAAGGGCTCATCTTCTGGCATTATCTCTGACAAGGTACTGCTTCTGTTGATTAGGTCTTCAGTATCTCATAATGTCTATACTATCTACTAGGTTTTCAGCAGCTAATTCCTTTGGTGTGGACAGCCTTTTCTTTCTTCCTGG